TTCCCTTTTATTTTTTTTTTTTTTTTTTTTTTTTTTGGAGACAGGGTCTCACTACATAGTTGAGACTACCCTGGTCTCAAACACATAGCAATCCTCCTGCCTCAGCCTCCCGAGTGCCACTTTTTGTTCTTAATGTATTTTGTGGAAATAATTTTGAGTAAACACTTTGATGTGATAAATTCAGTCTAAAACATGATTTTCCAACTTTTAGAACAATTGCCATTAAGAGATACTACTTTAAACCTTTAATGCCAATGCTTTAAAGCACTGATCCCGAGATCAATGCGTGTGCGTGCTTATTCTATAAAATTGTCTTCTCTCCTCTTCTGTGTGTCTGCCAACAGGCTTGGAAAGTGCCTGCAAAACGCACATAATTTCAAGCCAGGAGACCATCAATACTTCTATTGCGTCTTGCTTTCTCAGGAGCCCTAAGAGAACTTCAAACTTTAATTTTATTGTGTGTACATGAAGAGAAATTATCAACTTAAAGGCCACTTCCCAAAATTATTTGCCAAGTAACTGCTTCGGGAGGAGTCTAGGCTCTGGGTTACAATGTTCTCAAAAACATTTGGCTCTAAGGCTTTATACTACAGACACCTGGGTAACCTCTATTATGACTTACAAAGGCCTCAATGTAGCAGTTTTAGCTTTGGGAACAAAAATTTATGAGGTTATAGCCTGCAAATGTAAATAAATCTCTAAATGTTGAAATTTAAGCAGTACAAGATAAATATTCTGTGAAATATTATTTTTATCGCACTAAGCTCTGTTTAGGGCATGCCACTGCTAAGACAATCTGACCTCTTCCAGGGCCCTCCTAAATATGTGTGAAATACACGGACAGAGTGGAGTACTGCAGTGGGAACAGGACTCTGAGGTCAGAAAGCTCTGCACTCAAACCCTACCTTGGACTGTACAAGCTATGTGACCACAGAAAAACATCTGCTTCTCATGAGCTTCAGTCCAGCACTTATTGCATATGGAGGAGCTCCAGGGAGGAAAATGAATTTATACAAACATGTATCAAAGCACAGAGCATTAAGAGGCATTAAATAAGTGCCAGCTTGCTTTACTGATTCCCAAGTCTCTAAGACTTTTCACAGTAATTCCCAATCAAGGTAAGGAGACAAAGGTGAATCTGGGAGAAGGGCAAGATGGGCAACAGCAGAGGGTTATTTCTATTATGTGGGCTCTTTTATAAGGGTTGGCTTTTGAAGACAAGGAATACTACGTGAATTTTTTTTTAACTCTCTTGGCATACAATCACATATAGTAATGTACATAAAACAAATAATACAAAATAATAATTGCAATTTAGATTTTTTTTCTTGTTTTTTCTTTTTTTTTCTTCTTTTCTGGGGACTGAACTAAGACATCATATATGTTAGGCAAGTATTCTACCACTGAGTTACACCCACTGCCCCTAATTAAGCAAATCACCACATAATCATTACCCAAATCATGACATAGGACACTGCTAGCACACAGTACCTGTCCCTTCTCAATCACAAAATATCCCCACCTCTATGGTACCACTATGTAACTTGTATGTTAATTATTTCTTTTTCTTTCTAGTTTCCACAGGTAAAAAGTTGATTTTCTGTGTAGTTTTATGGGAAAATTTTTCCATTTTAAAACCTATTAAAGTTGAAGTTAAATGTATTAATTCCTCATAATTCTACAATTTGTGAAGTCTGAAACAACCTGGTAGAATAGTGTTCAGTATAGAAGAACACACACAAAGAAGAAAAACAATTTACCAAGTTACAGATCTTATTTGTATTTTCTTTAGTTTATCAGTATATGTTCCTGAAAGTAGATATGCTACAATTTATATCTGAGGAGTTATTTTATCCTTTGATAGACACAATGGGAAAAAATAAACAAGCAATAAGAAGAAAACCAAGACACAAGACAGATCACATATTCTAAAAGCTTTATAATATGAATGTGGACTAAGACTTAGGAACTTTACCCAGAAAATCTTAAGATATTTTAGACTTAACAACATGATTAAAAGTTACAGCAAAACAGTATTTACATTATGAAAAGTCCTATCATCCTCAATATTTGACAGATACCCATTACACATCTAAAGTTAAAAATATATTTTATCACTATGCTATATGATACTCTTATGACTAAGGATAAAATGAGTACTGATAAACAAATCAATAGTCTACTTCAAAACATTTTAAGGGGAAAAAAAAAGAATCTGATCTAACCATTCAAAACAGCTCTTGTAAATTCTATCATGAAAAACTGAAAAAAAGTATTTCTCCAAACTGTAAAACACAATTCCATATATTTCTTATTTCTATTTACCTGTCCTTTTAATAGACTAGCTAGTTCTGCCTTCCTAAATGTGTTTAGAGTTGTATTAAAATACTAACGAACCTGACCGGAAGCACTGGGGTCTTCAGAAACAGAGGAAGGCATTTCAAAGGGAGCAGGCCATGAAACACCTTCTGAGTCATGTGTCTGATCGGAACTGGGGGACTCCTGCTGTTCTGCAGCAGACGGGACAGGCTGGGCAGCTCCATCACCATTGATACTAGACAAATGAGAAATTTTTTAAACCTCACATTGTCATTAAAGCTAACTTTATATTATAATCCAGCTATTTGTAAACACTAAGACCCTGTATGTAATCAAGCATCCATTTTATAAAAAATAAAATAAAAATATGTTAACAATATCACAGTGGCAAAACTTAATTTTACCAGTTTCTGACCGAATTTTAGGTTAGAATTTCATTTTTCTTAAGATTTAAACCAAACAAGTAGCCAAGTACCTGTAATATAAAAACTTGGAAAGAATAGCCTTCTGATACCAGTGCTCCTTGCTCTTTTTCTTCCTTTGCCATTTCTGATCGATCAATCTTTGGTAAAACTCTTTCAACCATGTCCAATCACCAGTCTGAATAACATAAAAAATTGTTAAACAAATATAATACACAAGTAACTAAAGTGACTTGTCACCTGGCTATAGTTGGGGTCCTGAATAGCCCCCAAGACATACGTCAGGTTCGGCCCCTACTCAGGAGCACTATAAGGAGGTGGTCGAATTTTAGGGAGGCAGAGGGTATGTTCTTGAAGGGTATATTGGGATTCTAGCCCTTCCTCCTCCTCTTGCCATCTGGCCACCACGAGTGGTTTCCTCTGCCACAGGCACCCCTGCCATGATGTGTTTCCTTATCATAAGCCCAAAACAACACAGCCAACTGGTCACAGACTGAAACCAGGAGCCAAAATAAACCTTTCCTCTTTTAAGTTTATAATCTTGGGTATTGTGTTACAGTGATCGGAAGATGAGTAACACATAACCATTATCTTTACAGGCAATAATTTTTTTAAAATACTGTTTTACAAGTACATACTCATAAAATATTTATCATCTTAGACTCAACACATATCTCTTTCACTTTTTTTTTTTTTCCCTCAGTACTGGGGATTGAGCCCAGTACCTCCGCACTGAAGTTCATCCCAGCACTTTTTTTTGTACTGGGGATCAAACTCAGGTCCTTGCATTTGCCAGGCAGGTGGTAGAACCATTGAGCTAAATCCCCAGCCCACCCAGCACTTTATTTTTACTTTGAGACAGGGTCTTACTGAATCCCTAGGTTGCCCAAAATGGGCTTGAACTCACAATTCTTCTGCCTCAGCCTCTCAAAGAGTGCTGGGATTACAATTGTCGAAGTACTTTCTCTTTTAAGAAGTCCATACCTTCTTGACCTGTATCTTATACCCTGGACTGAAAGATTATCCCCTCCCCAATATCTTGTCACCTGAAGAATGACCTACTTTGCACACTCTATTGGCATTATCAGTGCAGGTATTTTTAACACCAAAATTGTCAGGTGCTAAAGATCAAGGACTGTGATTCATTATCACATCTGAAAAACGTACCCAGTATCAGTACATACACATACACCAAATTGAACTAGGGTTTTTTTCAAAGATAAAACATTGACTTTAAATGTCAATTTAAATCACTGTAACATATTTTCCTAGTCTTTCTTATTTCTTAGGGTTTTTTTTCCACACAATAGGCAGATATTTGTATAATGTGAGGTGGACTCACATTTTCAAGAGAAAAAGAAAAGAATATGGTTCTTTAACATAGAAACTTTGTACCCAAGATGCTACTCCAGGTTAAAAATTACAAATAGATTGGCTGACAACCTGAAAACTGGCCTATTACCTGTTTAAAGACCAGTCAGCTTTAAATTCAGCAAACCTGTAACCTTCCTCACAGGGAGAAGGACGACAGCGGCGAGTGTTCACACACTAGCTGTGCCCATCATTTTCAACAACGCTCCTGCACAGCACACTCATTATTTTACGGATGAGACATAGCTTATGTAACTGAGTATAAGTATGCACATACACCCTGCTCTGACAACAGAAAAACTACCCAAATGTAAGTCCCAGAGAAGGCTTAGCAGCATGCCACCTTGGTCTAAACAACAGTAAGTCACAATAAACCCTGACCCAGAAATGGCTGAGGAAAGAATCTAAGAATACTGACTGGCGGGCCGGGGACTTGGCTCAGTGGTTCCTCTGCAAGCATGAGGGGGCCCGAGTTCAATCTGGTACCACCACCACCAAAAAAAAAAAAAAAAAGACTGGTAATGAGTAGATGTTCAAAGACAACTCAATTTCCTTGTTTCCTTCAGTAATTAAGTGCTAGATAATTATAAATTCAGTGAGGAAATTCTACACAGACATAGGGTAGTGTTAGTAATTGCACATCTAATCAGGTTTGAAATCCTAAAAGTAGAACTTCAGATTTGCAGCTCACAAAAATCAATACAGATGATGAAACTGTGCAATCATCAAGTTGGGTGAAGCATAAAGCCAAATTGGAAAGTAGACATGTGAACACATCCGATCCCCTTCCCTAACACTGCTTCTGGGTCTATCAGCCGCACCTTAGCGACACAGTAGCCCATTTCCTCAGGTGCTTCTTCAACAGCAACAGCACTGGTGTTTGAACTTGCAACAGTTATTTCAGAATTTGGGAGTGTCTGGGAGCATAACTTTAACCCAGCCTTTCATAACAGTTTTTTTACTTTGTTACAGAACACGACACTGCAATAAAAGCAACAAAGCGCTTTGGTCTTTTCACTTCTGCAGAAGCCAAAACAACTTCTCCAATATATAAAAAAGCCAGAAAGTTAATTTCCTGAGAAAGAAACAAATAACCTGGCCCTGGCATTTTAGTATCCAAGAGAGCTGAGATTAGTCCATTGATCAAAACTCCAGGTACAATCTTCTTTCCAAACTTGGTGTGTTTTGCAAAATCTTCATTTAAATGCAAGGGATTAACATCTCCAGTTATTACTGAGAAGGCAGCTACATCCCTCTGTGTGAAGGCCCTGCTGAGTTCGGCCCAGTCTCCAACTCTCACACACATGCAGGTGCTCAAAGTGCTGCCTGTTCAGTACTGATCGATTCAAGCAGATTCTCCTCTGAAGTCCACCCCACCAAAGCCAATGGCTGGCTATCCGAGGGAACATCTTCAACATCTTCAAATTTCATCAGTAGTGTCTTTAAACCTGCTTCTGTTTTCAAACTTCAAGACATCAACAAATTCTTTCGGGAGCAGATGAAAAGTTTCTAAAATTGAAGACTATTCAACACTAGTTCCCAAATGTTTACTGGATAATGCAAGGAGAAAGGGAGAAACCTGAATCACTCTGAAAGCACATTTTTTTGCCTGTATAAGATCCTAGCAGGGTCAAAGAGCTCCACAATCTGACCATACCACTGCTACTGCTACATACTCTCTAAAGATGGCTGATGGGGTCTTCTCTTCATAGGTCAGGACGTCCATGGGGAAAACAGCACCAACCTCCCCAAACAGGTCCTTCAGAGCAGAAACAAGTAGCCGTTTGAACTGTGCCGCATTTCGTTCAACTCCATCATCTTGAAATTGTAGGTAGACTTTCATGTAGTGGCACTCCTGAGGAATTTTTTTTTTTTTTGGTACTGGGGATCAAACTCGGGACCTTGCACTTGTGAGGCAGGCGGCAGAACCACTGAGCTATGAGAAATTTTTATAAACTATTTTTTTATACGTGGTAGTTAATGTTGGCATCTTTTCCAATGCTGATCATACCCGCCTCCTGTCAGACTAGCCTGGTGCCTTCCCTGAATCCCGTTTGCCGAACAAATTTGCCAAGGTTTGGCACGCCAATCCACAGCTTGAGCCTGTGATACTTCTGATATATTTACATTTTTGTAATATTTCTTTTATCAAAGTATTACACAAATATTCTTTAAAGACAGCATATGCGCTGGCAGAACCAACAACTACTTACCAGTTCATGAAAGGTCAAGTATAGAAAGAGTGTGCCTTGAGAAAATGAAACAGTTACTATATTTTAAAATATCATCCATTCTCGATATATGAGGGAAAAATAAGTGCTCACCCACATATAATATGAAAAGCTAGGCTTCATGAAAAGAAATCCAATTAACTACTTATTTATAGAGTGCATTAATATTTTTCACATTTCCAGGTAGCCATGTCTCAAAAGAATCTCTAACACAGATATCAAAAGATTTTTTAAAAAATTTAAAATAGTCGTCCAGGCGTAGTGGTGCATGCCTGTCATCCCAGCACTTGGGAGGCTGAGGCAGGAGGACGTCATGCGTTCCAGGCCAGCTTGGGCTAGTTAGTGAGACTTATCTAAAAAAACAGTTCTTAAATTTCACTTATTTTTCACAGCTGTATTCATTGGCTTCATCCTTTTTCTTATAAGAGCCCTACTGTTAGTATCAATGAAATATTTTTTTTTGCCCATTCTCTTTTTTTGAACATTAGAACTATTGTCAATGAAACTTTTCATTTTTTGACAGCTGAAAAATTCAACTACTGTTTCCACTTTGGCTTTTTTTTAAACAATCACATTTCCAGAGCTCTATTAATTGTTAAAGAAGTTTCCAGATGTTTTTCACGAAATGTATTACCTGAGATGATCTCATGAAGAGTTCCTGAATATCCAGCTCATCTAATAAGAGGGTCCTTCCTACGCGATGTACTGCCATGCTTACATGGGACTTGCTGTAGGGAATCTTCAGGAGCTTTTTTATGTTCTTCAAAAGAGCAAAAATGGTTTAAAAAGATCCAGTCATTCAAATAGTAACTTTATTCTTCATAAAGCACAGTAAACTTTATTTCCTTAAGGTTATACAAATTGTACTTTACACAGAACTACCTGCAACCACATGGAAGAAACACCTTTAAAACCACAACCACCTACACTTTGAGTCAGACTAACATTTCAATGTAAACGACAGACAAACATTTATTTTCACATGATAGAGTATCTTCTCAAACCCATTTTTTCTATGTGCTGGGGATCAAACCCAGGGTCTCATGCATGCTAGGTAAGCAACCAACTACTGACCTACATCCCAAGTCCATAACAGAATTTAAGTGTGTGTAAGTCACACTGTTGCATTGACCAAGGCTTTAAGCATATTAGAAAAAAGCTACCAAGTCAATAGACTGTACCAGAAATATTTATAATTCTCAATTGGTAACATAAGCAGAATAATCCCAAACATTATCATCAGTTCCTATAACTATTACTAAAATACAAAAAATTTTTAGTATTATCACTACCACTGTTTTGGAGTTGTTAAGAAATATGTGGTAGGGCTGGGGATTTAGTTCAGTAGTTCTGAAGCTGGCCTCTCAAGCATGAGGTCCAGAGTTCAATCCCCAGTACCAAAAAAAAAAAGATGTGGTACAAAGCAGAACTTTAGACTTATTTTGTCATTAATTTCTCAAGACTGCAAAAACAGAACATAAAATAAAGCACCAAAGTTACATTAAACAACAAGCAAAACTTACTTCTGAATCAGAGACAACATCCACATCATTTCCCACAGAATCAATAAAGTCATATGCCATGCCAAAGCTACCAAAGGGAAAAAAGCCACAGGTTAAAAGTTGAACAGAATATGGAGTTTCACTGCTTCTAGGATATATGTTTTCCACATTCTAACATTTCTGAAATCAAGATGTAGATCATCATTAGATTTAGCTAGTGCTTCCTTCTCGGTGTACATAAAACAATGGTGTGTTTAAAAATTGATAATAAAATTTGATAAGGGCCGGGGATTTAGCACAGTGGTTCCACCACCTGCCTCACAAGCGCAAGGTCCGGAGTTCAATCCCCAGTATCAAAAATAATAATAATAATAATAATTTTTTTTATAATAGTAATGATGAGAAACAATTAGTAGAAAAAGACCTTAAAAACCTTCACATATTTTAACTGGGAAACCCAAAAAATTCTGACTTCAATATTGTATTCTTTGTATGTAAGACAATAAGACAAATAGAAACATTTATTAAAATTTTAGTTTCTGAGCCAGGCATGGTGGCGGATGTCTTTAATCCCAGCACTCGGGAGGCTGAGACAGGAGGATTGCTGTGAGTTCGAGACCAGCTTGGGCTACACAGTGAGTTCCAGGTCAGTCTCAACTACATACTATGTGCCTAGTGATATACACAAAACACTTTTAAGGTATATAAGAAAAATGCACCTGACACCAATTCAGTCACAAAGTTAAGTGACTTATGCCAACTTATGCCAGCTGGGTATATGTGACATATTTGTAGTCTACATACGTAAAAAGCAGCTGATGTCACCATTTTCTTGTTAGGAAGTGGCAGTTAGGATACTCAGCTAGGATATTTAATTGCAAAGCAACCTCTCATGATTTACCAGGTGCTCCTAGGTAAGTCAATTAATCTTTCTTAGTTTCAGCTTGCTCATGTGCAAAATGTTAACAGTGCTGATTTCAAAAGGTTGTGATAAGCACTAAATGAGATAAACCTGAAATACCTAGCAGTGTTTCTACATCACTGATAACAATTATTCATATCACCTCATAAAACTTAATATATTTATTAAGCCATTCTTCTAACAGGAAATGTTTGGGGTATTTCCAACTTTTTGCTAGTATAAATAAAGCTACAAATAAATAATAATTTGCACATATAACTTTTGCCTTCTGAATCATTAGGATAATTTTTAAACTACTTGCTCATAAGATATTAATGTGTTCATGGCTCTTGGTCTAAATTACATGTAAATATTTCAGGATGAATCACCAAGAAGAAATAAAAAGAACCCTACATATTAAATGGCTTATAAGAATATGGATATTAGTACATTTTTTCCTGCAAGATGCAAGGCCACTCTCTCAACTTTAAATACCAACAGCAGAATTTCCAGTTCTCAAAGTCAACAGTGTAGGTCACCCAACAGGCTGGATTTTTACACCAGGCTTTTTCAGACTAGAAAGTCCACCATCATTTAAAGAAAAACTCCACAGGACAATTTCTCAGTTACCACACCAAATCTTTGTCTTCATAAATGGTACAGAAACTGCCTAAAATAAAACAACTAATTATCAGTCAAAACTCATATTCATTAATATGAAGTAGATTTGAAAGAAGTATATGCAGTGTTGTCTCCATTCTGTAATGTATCCTATTCTCTGGGGGAAAAAGGAACTCTGAAAATCAAATGTCATCTTCTAAAAGTATACCAAGTTAGTGCACATCACAATTAAACAGCAAGTATTAATAGTTTAAAGTGGGGATGGAGGGACTGAGTAATTATTTACCTTGAAAATGGTTTGCTTTTCTTACTATTCCCAAGAATGGTAGTTCCTGCTGGCCCTAGTTTGGCACTTTCTCGTAACCAGTTGGCAGGTGGGAGTTTTAAGTCTGTTTTCTCTTCAAGTTGTGCAAATGCTGTTCGAGGAGGGGCAGAAGAGTATTTCACCACAGCTCGGCTCTTCACTTCATTGCCTCCAAGAAATAAAGCTGATTCCTAATTAACATATTGAATGAAACTTTAGGAATGAAAACTTCATCTTTATAAGAAGAAAAAGAACCACATCAGGCTTCACAAAGAATGAATGCTGCATGTTACTAATAACACTTAATTCAAACATAAATTATCACGTTTACTTAGCGCTTTTTCACATGATTTCAAAGAAGATGGATGAGTCAAGAAGCCTGGTGGTTATGTTTCAGCGAGGAAACAGGCCAACCAATCTGCCCTTTAAAATTTATTCACATGAAGGATAGAAGCAGAACCAAGACGACTCAACAGTGTCGTGTTAATTAAATGTAAAATTTAATAAAACCGCTCTACGGTATTTTTAAAATTTCAGTAACATACACAATTTACAAAGTGGTTTCTGGTAAAATATCTGAGCCTTTCGGTTTTTACGCAAAAGTTCAGTAATTGCTTCGACAGTAACACACATATTCTGAACCTCTTCACAGCAAGGCGGCGGGCGGGGACTTCTCACAGCCTTCACCGCACGCCCGCCAGCAAGCTCCAGCAAGGTCTGGGTTCTCTATTCTAACCTTCTTTCTCGAGGTCTCTTTGGGCCTGGCAAACACTTTGTAATTTCAAGAGTCAGCGGAGCCTCAATCCCTTGAGTCCCTCCTTGGCGTTCTTTCTAGTCCCCCGGCTTTGCACGACTGTACTACATTTTGAAACTACGTATTACGTGAATGATCCTTGAAAGCAGAGATCGTGTATAATTCACCAACAGGTCACCACCGAGTGGGAAGCCAGGATTGCTCTGGATATGAATGACTTACATGCAAGTGAATACTTGCATACCTCACTACAGACACACGGGCTTCCACTCTGTTTTGGAGATGTCAGGGAGGCGTGGAGAAGGTGCCAGAAGCTCCGGGAACTGTGACATCCCTTCCCGGCGGTGCGCGCCCGCCGATCCCAGAGCTCGGGCCCGTTGATCCCAGAGCCTGGGCAGGTTCGACCCTGAGGAGGACTCACCTGTGCAGAAGGTTCCTCCGGCTCTCCCTGAGACAGGAGGCTGAGCCCCCCTCGAGCAGCATCCCCCACCGGCGAGGCCTCAGCTCCGACCTCCTTGGAGTCCCCCATTACTATGGCCTAGGGTAAGCGAAGCGCGAGCCAAGACGCTGATATACGAACCCAAGCTCGGAGGTGCCACAAGCCAGGAAAACAAGCGCCCAAACTGCTCTGCCGACTACACTTCCGGTCCTTGAAAGGAAGGCGTCCCGCTGACGCGACCAAATCTCGCGAGTGTTATTTTAAAGCCTGGCCCCGCCTCCTGCTGCGGGTGCCTCCTTCGCAAGGGGAGGGGTGGAAGCTGTATTGCGCCTGCGCCTATCAGAGCCACTCTGGGAGACTTTCTCGCGATATGTGTATCTCAGGCTGCATTTCTTGTCTTTGTGGGCAAACGGCTGTGGGGCACTTGGGGTCGGGAGAAAATCAGGTTTGGGAGCTTCTCTCTGTGTGGAAGAGGGAATGTTTGCAGCGTCATCAACCATCCCCGTTCTATTAATGACGTTAGCACCCCTTCCCTAGCCTTCAGTGTCCCGTCCTTTAACAAATGGGCGCATCGAGGCACAGAAAGAGAGGGGCGCGCCCAGGTGCGGTGCCAGGCCTCGGCTTATTCTCCCGCATCACAATGCTTGAGTGTAGGAGTTGGGTGCGCACAGCGGACCCCCGCGGTTAAGGAGTAGGGCCACGTCCGAGGAGGTGGCACCTTCGCCGAGGGTTTGCTTCTCGGTGCTCTGGGACCGCACGCCCGACCTGGTCCGAGGCATCCGGGCGGTGCAGGGACTTGGTCGTTTACGTGCGTGGGAAGTACCTGGCGATCTTGTCCTCGCACATTCCGATCCAGAACGTCTGGTGGGGTGGACCTTCGCGTCTGCATTTCTCACAGCCTCCCAGGAGGTGTTGCCGGTGCTTTGAATAGGAGAGGATAGAAAGAGCCAGGCCCTTTTTAAAATCACTGAGGGCCTAAGCTCGGAGCCTCCTCAGCTGGATACTAACTATAAACCTAATAATCTGAAACAGCTAAACGCAGCTATTTCCCTCATAAAATATATTATGTGTGTCAGAGATTTGTCTTGTGGCAAGAAATTAAGCTTTTAAAAAATTAACTTATTTGACTATCTCAATTTTTAAATTTATCTTTGGCTCTGCTAACTAAGCCAGTGGTGCACATCTTCACAAATCCTTGTGACTGTCAACAAGCCCACTTTACATATCTTTTTCACTTGATCTTAACCAAAAGGCTGAGAAGCGATTTACAAATCTTTTTTCGAATATAACAAAAATATTTATGAAATAAATTTAACAATGAGTTTGTTAATAGTGTATTCTGTAGCTATTTAATATATACTGATTCTGGCATCCATTTTTTTTTCAAATTATACATTATTTAGTTAAAAATTTAACACAATTTAAAAACCAAATACAGGAGGATGGTTAAAACTGTTACACAATAAATTGCAACCATTAACTCCATTTATAATATTCAAGAATATTTGCGTTTTCATCATATGTTAATAAATGAATTTTTAAAAGCTAATATGCAGTGCGGTCTTAATCTTAACAGCATGTCTTTGTCGACAAAAAGGGATCTCTGGTAGGGTGAAGTGATTAAAACTTTTATTTTTAAATTTTCCTGATTTTCTTTCTGATTTAGAATTAAGTATAATTTTATTAAGCTTTTGCACCTACATAAATTTAGCTTCCGATAATCTTTAAATTGTTTCATTGTATGGTCTATCTCTGTAAGAAGGGATTTCCTTGAGAAGCTAATGCCTGGACCTTGCTGATGATGCTTAGTGAGCACATGTGTTGGGAACAACTGTTAAAAAGATGAGGAAGAATGAAAGAGAACCAGAAAGAGAGAGGCCTGCCGCAGCTAGAGGATCCCAGAACCAAGGGCTGGAGCCAGGGCCCTAGACCTCTAGGAAGTACTTGTGAGGGGAGACTGGCAGGGACTGGTCTCCAGCAGCCACACACATGGCCTGGGCTAACTCAGTTGGTAAAGGAGGATGATCCCTGAGTCCTGGAGAAACTGGGCACATCTGGATTACATAAAGCTTATACATTTCTTTGGCCCTAAGGGCTTGTTTTTTTGTTTGTTTGTTTGTTTTGTTTCCATATCCAAAAGCTTTTACATGCTGTGTTTTTAAAAGGTTATTGTTTCTAATAGATTGCTTTTTTTTTTTTTTTGTACTGGGGGATTGAAATCCGACCCTTGCGCTTGTAAGGCAGGTGGCTGAACCACTGTGTGAAATCCCCATTGTTTTGCATTGTTTCTAATGTAAATGATTGAAATGTGGGAAAACATAGATCATGCCTTCCACAATTTCAAATTTTAGGACATGAATTAATGTTTTGGTTTTTTTTTTTTTTTTTTTTTTTGGAACTGGGGATCAAACTCAGGCCCTTGCGGCTTGCGAGGCAGGCGCCAGAACCACTGAGCTAAATCCCCACCCAAATTTATCTTCCTTTTTATATCGTCCCACTCTCTGCCTGACCCTGACCCCAGTTCTCCACCCCCACTGGGGATGGACTCCATCATTTCCCAGCCTGTCCTGCTCTGCTCTGGACAGTGATCCTGGCTCTTACGCTCATTCAGAGCTCTCACGTTTGCCTGCCTCCCCATTGCCCAATGCCCTCATTTTTTAACACACGTTTGTTGAGTAAATGAATGAACAAACTGCCTATAATGCTGTGGTCCCGCAACTTGTTCATAGTTCCGCATTAGCTGGTGCATCTCCTCTGCCTAGAATATGTTTCCCTGCCTCACTTAACTCATTCCTGCCCATCTGCAAGAATTCATCTCAGGTATCCTAAGAAGTCTCTCGCCATCTCTCCCTGCTTACCCCTCAGGGTCCTTTTCTTTGTTCTCATCACTTGTATGGCTGTATCCCAGCACTTGTCACATTATAGAAAAATTATCTGTTTGTCTTTGCCTCCGTTGCTATCTGTGAACTCCTCAAAGGCAGGTGTTCTGTTTGATCATCTCTATTTCACCAGCATCAGGCTCAGCACTGGCCAACAGAACTGTTTTAGCCCTTAGGCAATGTAGGAAAAATGACAAGGGCTGACAGGCTTTTAAAATGCTTATCAAAATGTTTGAGACATAAAACAATGTTGTTGACTCCAAAATATTTTTAGTTGCAAAATCAAAGCTAAAACTGTGTAATGAAGTAACTCCAAAATATTGTAGTGTCAATGTCATTAAATATTAAAGTTAGTATTGATGTACAGTTTGTTCCTCTCTAAAACAATTTGTAAGTCGCTTAGACTTTGTCAGTTTGCAGAATTCCTCTCGGCATGCAGGATGATTTCTGAAAATTTCCAGTCAATAATTGTTAATTCATTTCATTACCTGTGTATTCAGTATCTTCCAAAGCAAAATTGGAAGTTTTTCTATAAAACTTTTACAGTAAGACAACTATGTGAAAGGCAAATGTGCTTTTGTTATTGCCAAAAATAAGAGTGTGGAGTTCACTTGCTGCTCCTGTGCAGCTCCTCTGGCAAAGAACATCAAACTCCAAAACCTTCTATGCCCTGGGAACATTTGGGGCAGGTGTTTCTTCAGTTTGCCATGGTCCCCTTTGGGACCTAGAGTCTTATACCCAACCAGCCTCGTTCACTTATTTGCTGGACATTGGAAGACTCTTGAGTTTCTGATTCCTGATTCTGGACTCAGGTTTGGAAGAAGGATTTGAGATGATCAGAACCAGTCTCTTCCTTGAGAAGAGAGCAATACAGTCCATAAAGGAGAGCAGAGCTGACTTATTGAACTACATACAAAGCTAATTAGTAGCAAAGCCAATACTAACATTCAGGTCTCCTATTTAGGTAGCTTTCAGGAAACAAATTGCAGAATAGGCCAATGGATTTTTTTATTTGTTTAATAATCTGTGAAGAAGAGAACAGATCCTCCAGTTATCATCAGATTCTAAATCAGTATCTCTGGGATACTATAGAAGAAACTGCCTTTTTGGTGAGATCTTTAGTTTCTGAGGACCTTAGGACAGTGGTCTCCAAAGACAATCCTCTAGAGACAGGAAGAACTATATCTTTTTTTAAATCTGAAAAATAAGGGTAAAGGTGAGCTTCACTGACACTTACTATGCAGATTAATCAATCCCCTTGCCAGGTCAGTGTCAGCTGTTTCATCAGTCAATTGAAATTGGACATTAAACTAAAACAAATGATCCTTAAATGTCAGTGGCTTACAACTAGGGTTTCCAAATAAAATGCTGGACATTAAGTTTGAGTTTCAGCTCAATAGTTAAAAAAAAAAATTGGGGGTGAGAATGTACCGGATATTTAGCATAAGTATATCCCATGGAACATTTGAAATGTGCTGGTCCACGTCATGTTTATCAGGACTATTATGGTCTGGATCTAAAATTTTATCCAAAGGCCAGGTGCTGGGGGTTTGGCTGCCAGCAGATGGGCATTTGGAAGATATTTGGATCATGAAGGCTCTAACCTCATCAAAGGGTTAATCCACTGATGGATTCATAATTTGATGGTTTTATTGGGAAGTGGTAGAAACTTAGGAGTTGGGGCCAATTTGAAGGGAGTAGGTCATAGGAATATAACTTGGGGACTATATATTTTGTCCTGGCACTTTTATCTCTAGTTCTGCCCCCTGCCTACTCTGTTTTCTGGCTATCAGGAGCTGAACAGTTTTTCCTCTGTCATGCCTTTCACCAATAGCCCAGTAACAGTGGAGCCAACCAACCATGGACTGAAATCTCTGAGCCTAAAAAAATCTTTCCTCCTCTAAGTTGTCATCTTCTGGTATTTTGTCACTGTAACAGAAAGCTGACAACAACACAGGGATCCAGGCTGATGAAGCAGCTTCGATCTGGAGCATTGCCAGCAAGTAGTGGCCATGGGAACTGTAAACTGGACCCTAAAGTTTTGGGTCAGAAATGACAGGCATCACTGCCACTCCCCCCAACCCCCGCTTTTTCCTTTTTTATTAAATAACAAACATCATGGCCAAGTGGCATCAGTGAGGCAGGGAAAACCAACGTTTCTCCAAGGAAAACTTTGGTTAGAGTCTGCCTAAACAAAAGTGGTTTAAATAGCATATCAGACACCATTCACAGGGTTAAATCTGGTGACAAAACAAGGCCTTTATAGGAGAATCTTTTTGGACTTTTGTACAAAGAGGAGGAATAACCTTGACTACCTCGTGAACCACACAGAAGACACACATCATTA